GTAACTTTTGAATTGTCTCCGTGGGAGTCTTCTTTCAAAGATAAGTTCACTTTGTCAAGACGTCTCTAACTATTTTCGTTTCGCGTTCGCCTTACTACACTGGTTGTCTTCACCCATACCTTACGTTCTTTTAATGGCTGTGGCACAGATTCTTGTTTGATTGCTTTCCGCGTTTGCTTAGTCAGTTGCTTTTCTCTTCTGTTTTCCAGACGTGTGTACAACTCAACACGGTACTCTGAAAATACGCATTTAAATTAGGCTAGCCAATTAAATAAATTATTGCTTATCTAGACGAATAGGCGGCTGTAAAAGCTCCTCTGTAGAAGAAGACGACGTGGACTGGCGCTACAAATATACCAAAAACGGCATACTCTCTGATACTCTCCCCGAACTACTCACTTCCAGGGGCACCCAATGGATCTGTTCCTCAAAATATCTGTTCTTCAGGCACATTTTTGCTGGCTGGGAGATGTGAAAGAAATAATAGTCCTTGGAAGAAAAGTGTTGCTGGGAAAAAGATAATTCAGGGTGTCAGAGGGGATTTGAAGTCTAGAATAGCTGCTACGGGTTACTTGTATGGGTTACTTACCACTCAAGATCTGAATTGTGCCCTATGAAACTTCCCAGTAAGTCAGGTTGCAGGTAGTAAGGTTGCTGGCTGGGAACTCTTCCATCAGTATTGCTGGGAGTGAGGAACAGATAATTTTTTTCCAGCAATCTCCCAAAACGCTTAAAATAGTCTCAGAAAACTTTATTCACGCTTTGTTGTTGTTTTTAGGTCTTTTTCTCAAAATTTCCCGTTGGGTGCCCCTGCACTTCCTCACTCCTCTTTGTGTCTCAACACTCAAAGCCGTTACCATATAATTAGACTTCCCAACTCTGTACTGGTGAGGGTTTCGCGTTGTTCGGCCTCACAGTAACCTGTAGAAATAGCCATCTCTCCTTGCCCCTCGCTGTTAGGGACGTTTCGCCAACAGAGACTGTCCTGGCGAAACGTCCCTAGCGATGACGAGCAAGGCCGAGAGATGGCTGTTTTTGCAGGCTAGCCTTACAACTCCTTGTTTTGTTTTTCATAAGTGAGTTTCTCGTCAGTAAAGCTAGCGGTGTATCAAATTGCTGTGAGTGAACTTTGAACGAAACGATATCAAAAGATTCTTGACGTAGGAGATGAAATGAAACAAATGAATAGGATACCAATTCGCACTCACGAATTTCATCTCTGAAACCGCTGGTTCTTACTACTGTGGGAAATATATAATTCATACCTGAGAATCTTCTTCCAGCAATTTGTTTAGTGTCCTCAAATACGTGACCACATTGGCATGATCGGCAAGATTCCGTCATCTGGGGAGAAGAGATTAACATTGCATTTACCATGCCATGGTCAGTAATGTAACCGACTTCCGCGATTGCTACCCGGATGTGCATGCAAACTGAAACGAATTGTACACCGGATAAAATTGCCATTTATAACTTCCTTAGTTGATTGTAGTTGGATAGTTAATTCATTTCCTCTGGAAAATTTCAATGAAAATAATAACAATAATAAGAATAACAACAACAATAAGAAAACAGTATTGTTGGGGACAGCAAAGATACTAAGGAAAGTACTGTCCCTGTAAGAAAAGAGAGACCTGGGATCCGTGGTGACTGTTATAACCCGCTCCCAAGGACTATTAACCAGGCGAACATCTTGCCTGAGTCTACAAGGAATGGACATAATAATAATAACAAAAATAATAATTATAATTTACTGAGACAACTCGGCTTTTAAATCAAGAAAATCATAATAATCGTAATATTAAAGGTTCAAGAGTTATACCGGAAGTGATAGACACGGAAGTGAAAGTAAAGGATCGTAGCGAGGTTCATTTCTTTTTCCATTTCTTTATATGATACTGAGAAGGAATGCGGAAGAGGATCAGTTTAACTGTGGAATGGAATTGCTTCTTAGTATGTCAAAAATATAAGTACAATATCTTATTTTAACTAGACAATAAAGGGTAGAATATTTGCAGCCTTTTTGCAGGAAGATACAATGGCCCTCTGAACGGCATGATATGCAACATTGGACAATGTCAAATGGACGACCCTTAAACTAAGATACTCGATAGTTAAAACAGGATACAATAACTCTCAACAGGAAGTGCAAGCCTGGCCGCAAAAATAGGTTTCTTACTGAAAAAAAAAATCAAGCTGCTTTAGTTTCCCTTTTCTACAGGTGTGGTAATTGCGGTGAGTTGGTTGAATGAAGAATTAGTCAGATTATCTGATACTAGGAGATTTAGTTCTACTGTAGTGAGAATACAGCGCCGGTTTACTGCTATATCTCCATAAATGCAAACTGGCCTTCACGAACGTTAATCGAACCGCTTTTAGTTCCATAAATTTTAACGCAGTTAATAATAAAAATAAATGGATTCCACAACCAAATTAATTTCTCGTCAAAATCATGAATATACGCTCATTAAGGCAGCACTATAGATGTTGTGTGACGAAATATAGCCGTTTTTATCAAACAAGCAATGATTGAATATTGATTAAATTTGATCAATCCGGGATGAGAAACAATAGATTGGCAAAATTTCGCTGATATTACAATATAGTATTAAAAGATAACGTTTCAGACTTACCATTGAATTACAAGCCAAGCACTGACGAAGGACCATTTTGAATGTTTGTCCTCTAGAACAGGAGAGACGAGTACGGTACGTGCTCCAGCAATGAAGCTTATGAGCTTGGCGTAACGACAAGTACAAGTGACGTCACGTTTCCCACGCTGCTTTCCGTTCATTGGTCCAAATTTTAATAACGATTCGCGCAGAAAATAACATCAAAACTCCTGTATTTTCTAGTTTAAATTGTAAGGTCAAGTAATATGACCAATTTTAAACATGGATCGGTCTCATTGATTTTGGCACATTATGCAAAATTAGTGTGTTATTTTTTAACACTTGAACGCCCGTTTAGCTTACCATATTTAAAAACCTTGGACTCTAATTCTGTGCCCAGCTCCAAAGATGTCGCTCCTTTGGGCACCTACCCTGGGAAAAAAGGGCCTTCGAGTTTCCGAGGAAGATCGAAGGGTCTCTACTTGTAGGGTATTGGCCACTGTCCCCCTACCCCCATAGGTTGTCTTTTCTTTTACGTTTCTAATTAATCATAAAACGGTAAAATGATCCTTACGGAAAAGCCGCAAATTTGTTGAAAATATATAGTTTTTGTTTTATTCTTTTGTTTACTCCTTCATCGCCTTGCCGCAAGGAAAAGTTTACCGTTTTATGATTTTCTAGAAGTTATTATATTATACTGATCCAGGTCTACAAGAGCTGTGGTCCTAAACAACTGGGAGATCCGGCACCACTCAACGGTTTGCCGCTGTGGACTTGCTGATGTTTCATATTTTCGTCTCTAATTAGCCTGCGAGCTAGCGGGATTGTTATGCACGGGGAACACGCAAAGCCCGATTTATGAACACCCGCTTAATAAGGACACCCCTTTAATAAGAACACGAACCCTCTCAGTGTCCGTAGTGGGGTATCGGCTGTACTTACAACAGTACTCGCCCGCAAATTCCGCCAGCTCCGCAGGCAATGTTTCTCTGTAACTTTCTACAATAAATACTCGTGAATATGTTCCAAAACAGTTGTTAGTACTGCCCTTGTAAACAGTGTAAAAAAAGGAAGTTGAAGTTGAGGTTGGTCTATCTTGTTTTTTTCTGCTGTTTGGGTTGGGAATGATCCAGCTGAGATCAGCTGAAGCAAAGTTTTGAATGACACAATATAAAAGTACTAATAGAAGCAGTGTAAAAAGAGAATTGTGTATAGGCAAAACAGATTCTGGTGTCTAAGTGAGTCAGTCCGCCACGCCACTGGAAGTAATTTGACCTTGACAAAATGCGCAATTCCCGGAAAGAGAATTTTTTTGTCGTATTAAACGGTGGTTGCATTTGCGGAAGCTTTGAGCATAATGAGGGGAAGATGAAGAGGCGGGACGTGAGGGCCTTTCCTCCTCTTCTCTCCTGCCTGCTTTGTTAATATTTAGTGGGTTATATTGTGAGTGCTGTGTAGTAAAAACTCTACAAAATAGCCTAGGAATCAAAGAAAATGAAGGGGTCTAGATTTGGGCACCTTATCGAGAAAATCAAAACAATGTATATGACTGAGGTCGGCAGGAGTTAAGAGCCCCCCTTCCTCCCTTCTTGGAGCTCTGTTTATTACCACAGTGTCGGATATTACATTTGACAAAAAATAAACAAAGAAAGAAAATCAAACAAAACAAAACGATGAAATAACCAGTAATATTCATACTCTATTTAGCTAACACCAGCTACACGCAGTTTCAGGCGGGAAGCTGTAGATTGAAGAGATATTTGTTCAACCAAATCCCTCATATTGATCGGAAACGGGCCAGTGTGTACATTGACAGAAGTATCACATTTAGAAATGTATCCGTGGGGCACTAGCGCGGAGAGGTTTTCATACCATCCTTTTAGGCCTGGGCCAAACGTCGAAGGTTTCGTGATACGAACCAAACTCTAATTAG